GTAGCGAAACGCTTTTGTCTTTGAAATGAAAAAGCCGCTTACAATTAGGGTGAATTTTATAACGAAAACGTCGTTGGAGTTACGAGTTACCAGCACAAACTGAACAGGATATAGTTATCAAGACGATACAGAAGTTGGCGACAATATATCTATAGCAACAACATATCGACAGCTCATATAACACAACGTCAGATCACGAGCTTGATGACTTTAAAAACTGGCTTTTAAACAAGATGTCTGACGGATACATATTTTGCGCACAGTATGCATACGAAAAAATGATTGAAATAACTAGTCGACGTGAGATTTGTTATGAAATATTTAAAACTAATGTATAGGTCATGATGATACTATACTTTCATTTATATCGCAGTATTCTGTGAAGTCTTTGAATGTTTGGTTTCTTTATATATTTACTTATATTTACAGGACTTCAAAACGATAAACTTATCATTTGTTGGTAACTGTGACCTGAATATCCCTAGTTTAGATGGAAAAGGAAGTTTGCATTATGTAAATACTCTACTTATTCAGTGTCATCTAGAAATCAGTAACAAAGATAATTCAAAAGCAAACATAACATCAATCAATATTTATAGTCCTTGTTCGAGAAAAAGGCGTTTCAAACTGAAAAATATCTCAGCAAATGATGCTGATAATAGAACTGTTCAAATTCATTTACAATCGTTAGAAAATGAAATTATTAGAAAACATTTTCATCGTTCGATTACATTATCAAAAGTAACTTGTAAAAGTTCTAAATATAAATTATTTCTGTCTGTTTTAAAAATTAGTCTTTTTTTAAATCAAAAGAAAAAAAAAGAAAAACACCCGTAGTTTGCAATTTTTACCTTCAAGTTTTACTTTCTTATTGCAAGACCGCCAGTGTTGACGAACTCGCGGTTCTTGAAAAATCGCAGATTAATTGACGATCCCGATAATTTTTCTTTTTTTTAAAAATCGGCAATTAATTGCGATTAATTGTTGATTTTAAGCGATTAAATGGTTATTATTATTCACCGTTTTTTATTTTGCAGTAAAATATGTATATAAGACACACGATTTCAACGAGAAATATACTTCTATTTAGATCGTCTTTTTATTTTAGAGTAAAACGGGGGTGTCAAGTCTTCTCAATGATCTCTCAGAGGTTTAAGTCAAGGAGCACAGTGAACAGCTGGTATCTGGGGAATGCCTAAAATCGAGTCGACGGAAAGGCTCCGATTTCAGCTGGTGCTAAGACCCTTTCTGGGTGACGTATATGTCATTATACATAATAAACAATGAAAAAAAAGAAAAAAAATGTATATTTCCTAAGATTAGTTCGAACTTATTATCAAGAAAAAAATCGTCAGTTAATCGCGATTAATCGTATGATTTTTCGCGATTAATTGCCGATCCTTAAGCGATTTTTTGTACATGGCCAATGTCAAATTTGCAATCAGCGTCCAAAACTGAGCCGAATGATCTTCCTTATCATTCTATCGGACAAATTTGATTTTTTTCGACGTTTTCCATGGGAAAACTAGCAATTTGTGCCCAGTAATGGGAATTATCTTTAATTTTTCTTGTGAGACGAGACATTAAAAACATTAAATTTTTCGTTTATATAAGTAACTTAACCATGTCAAAGAAACAAAATGAAAGTTCCTACATTTTTTGAATTGCTGATATCTTACACAGCATAATAAATATGAGCATAAGCATGTCTATTCACAACAACAAAATAAGTCACCGGGAGAAAACAAAGAAATGAGTTTTGATACAAGAACAGGAAAACGTTTTTGAACGACCAAAACAAAACTATACACAATGAAAATCATAAAATGACGGAGCAGTAATGTGTGAATATAATTCAGTGTTATTTATTTCATATAACGATGATGGAGTTGAGAATGAAGATAAATCATTTAAAAATGACATGGAATAATGATTAGTCGACGATGATGTGGGATATGGCGGATAAGAATTGTAGGATGATGGTTGTTGCTGATGTTGTTTCATTGCCACATGTGATTGTTGACATTGAAAATTGAATGTTATTGGCGGTGATAACATGTAATGTGAAGGTGTTGGAGGTGTGGGAATAGAGGATAGTTCCATTTTATATAGATTACGTGTGGCACTGTTTAGTTGTTGTTGTTTTTTCGACTTCTTACGATTTGTATTTGCATCGAGACTCATATCTAAATAAACATAGAATAGACAGTCAAGAAAATGAAGGTTTGATTAACAGACATAGTTTGAGATTTCTTACCACACGGTAATGGATAATGTCCGAATAACCATTTTTGAAAATTAATTTCAGCTTGTGATTGTGCTTTAATATTCTGTAAATATTGTTCATTTTTATGCGAAAGATAATTTTTGTAAGCCACTGTTTGAGGTGTTTGTCCGGATGAATTAATAACTTGTTGCTTGGCATTATTTCTCAATAAAAATATTGTCATTTCAAAATTTAAAGAAGCAGCGGCTTTAAATAACGGTGTTTCATCCTAAAAATCCAATAATAATAATGATGATAGTTGAATTTTAGAAAATGGATGTTAAAACTTACATTTTCATCGAGTGCTTCAATATTTGCTCCATTTCTTAACAATAATTCGGCACCATCAACATTATCAACAGATGCAGCCCAATGTAATGCAGTTCGGCCTAAAAAGGTTTTAAAAACAAAAAAATAATAAATCAATTGACACGTGTAAATATATACGCACCACGAGGCTCTTTCTCTTCGCCATTGACTAGAAAAAAGAAATAAACATTTATCAAAACACTGCACTCCGTGAATACTTGTCTCCTCCTGACCATAAAACGTTTTGTCGATGAGAGAAAGCGGTGAATAAGATTGAGAAGTATAATGTACCTGTTTTATCCCATCTGTCATGTGCATCAACTTGTATATCTTGACGTGTTAGAAGCAAACACTTGGCAATATCATTCATCTCTAATCGAATAGCTTTTCGTAATGGATTATCACCGCACGGTTGTTCATACGATGACTGATTAATGTATGTACATGTATTTACATCAATTTTTGGATGTTGTAAAAGAAATTGAACAACATGCAATAAACCTGTACCAACAGCATACAATAATGGTGTAGCGCCATTGATATCACGTGAATTGATCAAGTCTTCTTCGTATTTTAATATTAGTTCACATGCGACTAGACGAGAATAGCGACATGCTAAATGAAGCAATGTTTCATCATTTGGCGGTAATCGAACAGTTAAATCGCAACCATTGTTAATATAAAATTCTAGTTCCAATCGTTCAGCTAAATAATAAAATATTAAAAAAGAATTGATTGATAGCGATCAAAACTTATTACTATACGAACTTGAATCTTCTTTTCCTAATGGATTTCGTTTCATAATCGCAAGTGCTATTGGTGTTATATTGCTTGGTCCCGGATGATTAATTAACGATGTTGATTGTTCACTTGGTGGCGTGGGCAGTGTAACATATTGATCTTCCTCATTATTTAATTTTTGACGTTTTGTTTTCGGTTGTTGTAGTTCATGGTCTTGTTCATTAACTTTTTTCGTCAATTTTTGTATTTTATTATTATTTTTATCATAGCCAACATCTCCACCACCACCACTACCAATGTTATACTGATTTTTCGTTGTTGCTGCCGTTGCTAATGGTGGAAACCAAATGGGTGCATGAATAATTTTTGGTCGACGAATGATTGTGTACGATATCAACGCAACAATGAATAGAAAACACGGAATAAAAAATAGTAAATAAATTAATTTTGATCGGTCTTTAACTTGTTCACTTTCTGGCACAATGTTTAAATGTTTAACTGGTACACCTTGAAGTAAATGTTCAAGTCGACCTTGTTGTTCGAGAGCGGATAAGTAATCGCCAGCTTGTTGAATTGAATCAAAACAATTCAGTTCATCATTGTTTGTTTTATTGTTACAGGAGTTTTTTAATATATTTAGATAGATTTTTGTTCTAAATTTAATAAGAAAAAAAGGATATGAGATGATTTTGAATCTAGTGGAAAATTTCTTGCAAGTTTGATTTCGTATGTGTTTGTCAGGAAAGAATAAGTAGTTAATGTAAAATTGATATGAGTAGTTTATCCGCCTGTATACTAATGTATCTAATTGATCAGGAGTCAAAACAAGAAAACATATAAAGAAAATTGTTGGTTTTCAAACTGTTTTAAGCTCATAGTTAGCTGTACTTCCAGCAAATTTGTAAGACGAAGGCGTTCAATTCATATCAAATTTTGTGATCACAGAAATGGAGAAAAAGCTTTTAGTACGGGCATAATCAACTCACCAAGTACCAGAAATAAAAAAAAAGTTCGTCAAAAAATTTTTTGAAAAAGCTGAAAAATTTTCACTGAGGCTTCTTTTGTTCGAAACTTGTTTTATACATGGCTCGATGCAATTTGACGAGTTAATTAGTATTGGTATTACTGTTTTTCATTGAGAATAACTTATAGCTCGTTTAGACGATAAAAGTTCATCAAATGATCAAAAGAATTTTTAAGCTTTACCTAGTGGTGTTATTCTCAAAAACATTTTTTGGTAAGGTATCCTGAGTCCAGACTGAACATAGAAAAATCTCACTTTACAGTTTTTTTCGCCGAATATCCGTATTCTCACTGTACTTCCTCCTCGATGGCACCCCTACTAAGAGTGGCCGACAATCAAACGAAATTTTTTGGATTCTACTATCAAGAGACAACGGTTTCCTCGATCAACGAGATTAGTCTCTTAATTAGAAAATGCCATTCTACTTTATAGATAGGTAGTCTTCAATAGTGTGTATCACGACAATCATATCTCGAACAATATATATGTTTACCCCATTTGTTTCTTTTTGTCATTTCCTTTTTCTTTGTACCATGGCAATATCAGTTCACTTCCATCTTTGTTCGAAGCTATTTTAACTTGACTCCGAAGTATATCAGCTACAAACGATAAGTGGAATGTTATCTAGAGAAAAAGAGACTTAAATATTACTTACATAAAGCATTTGTAAAATTTAATTTTTTATTGTCAAATTCATTTTTATCTAATTTAACTTCAAATACGATTGTTCCTAATAAATTATTCGAGAAAAATGTTGATTTCTGTTGGCAATCTTCAAAATCAAAATTACACTGTACTGTATTACATTCTTGTTCACATAGTCCGTTATGAATAACCTCGTCACAATAGGTTACACTAAAAGAGAATCTCAATTAGTAACAAACAACAGCGATACGTCATCAATACGTCAATAACGCTTACTTGCATTGCGGTATTAGCTGTTGCTTTTGCTCGCAATCTCCACCATCATAGAAACATTCTTTGGTATTACACTGTAGATCACATTGTGCGTTATTAAATAAATGTGAACATAACTTCGCTTGTTTACATTTGTGCCATGGTTGTCGATTAAACGAACATTCACCTTTGTCATAATCACATATTTCAACGTTACATTCTTGATCACACTGACCATTTTGGGCTTTTGACGGACAATTGTTTAATGTACAATAATCATCTTGTTTCAGTCGATCATTTATACCAATATATGATTCACAATAAAAACCATAATATGAAGGTGAACAACGACAATAAGCACTTCCTAGAACAAGAGGGTACGTTCTATGTCTATTATGTGTACAAACGAGACAATATTTACCATCTTGTCTCACATTACATGTTCCGCCATTTAAACACATAAATTCACTACATTCATTCGATTTTTCACTTTGGCATGATACTGTAGCCGAATTTGATGGACATAAACATAAATAGGAACCTAGCGTATTCTAAAGAAAAAACATAAAATGAGAATAGAACTAGAAATGGCTTTCTTCCGGAATTATTCATTTACATAGCATGTTCCTTGTCTCGGACATGGATTTTGTAAACATTCATCAATATCTTGATCACATTTATCGCCGGTCCAACCATGAAAACATGAACATCGTTCGTTTGTACAGTTTCCATAAACGCATTGTTCACGTTGATCACATAATTTTGACGTTTGAATTGAATATGGATGTGAACGATCGCACGATGTCGATGGAGGATGAGTAGGTGGACAATAACAGAAATAACCTTGCTTTGGATACGGTAAGTTTACACAAGTGGCATATGAATAACATGGAGATGAAATACAATAATCTTTGACATAGAGCTGACAATAACGACCAGAATAATCGGGTGGACATACACATTGGAAATTATTTGCAATTTGAGAAGACGAAGAAGAGATGGATGTTTGAAGACGAATACATGTGCCATTATTTTCACATGGATTGTTTAAACAGGGATCGATAATGACCTCACACAAGGAACCGCTATAACCTAAAGTGGAGGAAAAAAAATCTTATCTATTAATATACAATTACACATGTCCTAAATAGATGTGATGTTTTCATTGAACAGAATAAGAATTATAAAAATAGAAAAATGATGTTCTATGCCTTAAATTTAGAATATCAGCAATTAGCAATCTCAACTGTAAAACGGGATCTGAGCACATTCTGTTCCCTTAAAACTTATGTATTCCAGTTAGTAATACCAGTTGTTGTTTTTGTCAGAAATCACACATTTGTGACAAGAATTATGCTTTCTTTTAGAATTAGTATTTTTGGCCACATTCATGAGTTCTACTTTTTTTCTTCTGTTAACTTTATTCGCTAAAGTTATTATGGATTCCTTGAAGATAGACTGATTAAGTCTGTTGTATATACGGATAAACAAACTTCAAAAAGCGATGAGCTCATCTTTCATTTTGCTTATTGTCACCTGTTACGATTGATATTTTGTTTCGAGATTGTAAACGACATCCGAGTCTATGCAAACATTCTCAAACAAAACAAAAAGACCTTAAATTGTTTCTTCCGGAAATAATGTCTGCTGCTATTTCTAGATATCTAACAGTCAATTGTCAAAATATTTAAAGTTTCTTCACCTGCACATACACAGACATGGCGGCACATTTTAAAGCTGTTTCACGTTCAATACACACACACATATATAAATATATATATATATATATAATATAAAGCGTGAGAAACAATGAGAAACGTAATAAGTCGGAATTTATTTAATTCAATTTTTGTTTTCTATGATATTTACTATAGGGATGATACGATCATAATTTTTTTTTTCACGTTTGATAAAAACCGACGACAATAGAAGAATGAACTATCACACATATATGTGCAGATTGCTCTCTTCTCGGTTAGGTATTGATCAGCAAAAGGAATGTCACAAACAATTAACAAATCGATAACGTTTCAACAATACACGCGATCGTTATCTCTTTGGCTGTGGAATTATTTACATACAATTATCTAACATAAATCAACACTCTCTTGAAAAGAGAAAAAATCGCGTTTATTCAAAACAAAACTCCTGTATTCATCAAAAACAATAAGAAAAACAGATCAAATTAATCATATATTTCTGAAAATAACTCTTTCAAGACAGAAAAAAGATTCTCAAACTCACGATGTTATATCTCTTTGCACTGAAAAAGTGTTATTTACAAGAGCAATTATAATAAGATTTTCATAGCACTTGAACTATCACATCGATATTTTTAAAATATTCATAATCACATTTAAACATTCAAAAATAGTTGTTTCCACAGTTATTATAAATTTTCTAATATATGCAGAAATCTAAATATAAACATTATTTGTGTTTATACTTCACAGAGCTTGATTTTAAGATTAAACAATCTTAATACAAGAATGTATGTGTTATATACCTATCGATAAAAAAAGGACAACAAATAATACATAATATTCGGAGAATTGATAACACTTTCTTATAGAAATTAACTGGAACGTAATGGCAGACTTCACAGACTATCTCTAAATATCACCCATATCTAATTATTAGAGAATATTTCTTAACTGTGTACACGTGTGTATTTGTTACGGTCGTATTAATTGGTTAACAGTTTGTAGAGAACAGGAAAGATTTATGACTATTATTCTACTCGTTACATTTTTAATTCTGCCCATTTTCCGTAGATGGTGGAGCAAAGATTGATGAATAATTCTTTCCTGTAGAAAAATAATAAATTACTTATTATTTGAATGGATCTACACCGTATCATTGTCTTTAGATAGAGGGGTCTATGGTTATTAGAAAAAGTGTTTCATCTCACTCATAATATAAACAATTAAGTCTCAAACGGAACTCATTCTATTCATCGAGCATCTAACCACTTGACAATTACAACAAAAAAACAAAATGTCTATTCACACCGTGAGAAACGAGAGATGTTCTTCTCTCTTTTGTAATTGAAAAGTGATTTGTATACACATACCTACATATGTTTACATGGAATTAGAGAAATACACTCACTCTTCACATAAGAGATGAGCAAATTAAATGAGAATACAATATGTACTATTATTGAAAAACATAATAAAAATGTCAATTTCTGTTTCTCTGCGCTTGAGTGAAGCCATACCTTAATAAAAAAAGCTACTGGGATTCTTCGAAAAAAATGAAGTTCAAACGATTTCTAATCTGAAAAAGAACATGCGAACAGTCTTTTCTCGTAAGATCATTACGGAAAGGAAATGTTGAACAATTATTATTTTGTACCGTTTAGACAAACAATATTCTTGTTAAGAAACTGATAATGCACTCAATCAAACGTAGAAAATCTAATGACTATTCGCTTTGAAAGACAAAATAGAGAGCACTCCGATATCTAAATCATCATAAACAGTATTTTATCAAAATCTGTCTCAGATTAGCGTCATAATTGCTATTACTCAAAAAGCCACTTAGTCAAAGTGTATTTATGTGTCTCTCTCTCACTTCGATCTATATATCATAACTTTTTATTATAGATTATTTTTCCGATAAAAAAGAACTTTTTCTCACCGTCAAAAGTTTAGTTGTTCTGAAACAATATGATAATTTTCATTAGAAAGCGATAGCTAAAAAGTGAATAATTAAAGATGACCTCTCGAGATACTTACCTATTGGACAAGAACATATAAATTGGCCTAATCCATCAATACATTTTCCACCGTGTTTACATGGGGATGATTGACATTCATCGATATTTATTTCACATTGTTGTCCGCTAAATGCTTGTGAGCATAAACAAGATTTGTAACCGTTTTCAATGATACATGTACCATTATTTTGACACATAGAATTACACGATGGAGATACATGATAGGACATTGAAAAGTCTAAAAATAAATTGATCACCTAATTTATTAATTAGACACTATGGTACAAGGGTTAACAAACTCTATATGTAACTATCAGCGGGATGTTAAATGAACTGTAAATGATGCTTAAAGCAATTCATGAAATTATTGAGTAACGCGGCAGTAGGATGCTACTAGTTAAAAGGTACACAGATGGAAAAGAACGAGACGACTTGAAGAATCTAATATTTTCGAAACAGTAACACGCTAAAGAAAAATTTTCAATTAGCTGCAGCAAATCTGTTTATTCTATCTGTTAATTACTACAGGTAAGTTTGCTCGGCTACGAAAAAAAGTTAGTAAATAAACAAATTGGAATCATAATCTTTTGCGTGCAAAGAAAAATTTCATGTTTTAAAAAATGGATTTGAAATTCAGGTTCTGATTGAAAGTTTCCTGCTTTCTCGGTTTAGTCAACACACTGGAAAGTCTGTGGTGTCACATTCTTACAACTTTAAAAGATGACCGTTTTACATGACGTATGCTAAATTAAACCATTCAAAGAGAACGTTTATCTTTTAATATGAACGTAATCATAAGCAACATTTTCGTTCCAACAAGAAAGTTTCCTGCAGATTCGAGTGAACATTTGGCATCTACCTTCTTCAACTGAATGTAGCTCTTTTTAGTTAAATTGTTCAGGGCTGGACGAGTCCTGGGGGCGGAATATTTATATTTCTTTTCTCCTATGCGGCACAACCCATCAGTCTTATTATAACAGAAAAAGTTCATAAGTAAACTTCTATTACATATTTCATACTGATATTAAATAACTGAAAATTTTCCTGTTGAGTTATGTAAGAACTTGAATCGATCGGACTCGAAACACAAAAAGTTCGAGTCTTTTGAAAAAATCTTGAAATCGGCCTTGAAACGGTTAATAAGTAAGAATAGAAAAATAGCAACGGGAGTAGAGAAAATAAAATTACCAGATATTATCCAACTTTAGCAGAAAGCAGACTAGTGCAAGGAAGCGAGTCGAAAGTTTCTTTTATGTTACTTGGATTCTCAGATCTTCTTGTGACTTATACTTCTCAGTGTAAGCAAATGTGTCCGAATATCCGGAAATGAAGTGTGTGCAAGTTTCAGATAAAGAGAATTGCTTTTTTAACTTACGTAAAATAGCTGCAATAATTACTAATTTTATTGTTGGCATCGTTTTTATATAAATAAATGTTCTCATGTATCACTTTAACGTATTTATTACACTAACTGCTGTTGAAATGTCATTTATCATATGTTTTTTCTGTTCAGACACATCTGTCATGCCCAAAGAATAGAATGAATATAATTTCTAAAATGTTTTAATTTCAATTTTAGTCAAGAGTTCTCTCTCTCTCTTCTCTCTTTTTGGATAAATTTTGTATAATAGAGTAAGAGAGGTGTATATGACATATAACTGTGACTGATCATCCTTTTCTTCTCTTCATTAATGGACGACATCATGTATATCACTGTCATCGCATACATCATATCTTAAGGCTATTTCGAGTAGAGCAGAGTTGGAGTGGGATGACTTTGAGTTGTTGTTGCATGAAAAAGTCCATTATTTATGATCTATAAATGTTTAACTAATTAAATAATTGTGATGAGCATGATTGGCGATTATTGAGAAAATGGAAGGAGACGTAATATAGATTGCATCATGTTTCCCAACTCACGAACACTACATATTTTTTCAAAAAATGTATGGAACATGATGCGAATATCGCATCAAGAACGATAAAGTATAGTCAAAGATCGATTTCGGTACTCATTGAATTTCTGGATATAATGCATTTTCTTTAAACGCAGAAACATCGACATTTTCTACCTTTCATATGTTCGAACGCATGAAACCGATAAGAAAATTTTAACGCCTTCCTAAAAGACTTTAAACGACAATGCATGTAACATGATGGATATATATATACAAATAGAACAAATCCAAATGTTTTATTAACTAACGCATTTTAATCTCATAAAATTATTCTCTGGTGCATACGCGTTAAAAATATCGTTTTTCAATACCTGCGAACGCGTTAGAAAGCTCACACATTCGAATTCACGAAAAAATAATTTTCGTTTATTTAATACATTCAAAGATTTTGAAGCGGTTTCAGATGTTTACACGTGTTACACATTAATGTATTGGAATTTTCCAACGATACAAATAGCACTCATGTGCTACAAAGAAGCACTTTTATCTTTTCCTGACAGTGCCATTCGGCTCTTCTCAAAACGTTTGGTGTAAGGCGCTTGCTTCTACTCCCTCAGACATACTACAGAGAATTCTTTCGAAAATTAATGCATTCTCTTGATATGCTTATACACGAATGCGTTCAAATTTAATGTGTTTTCTTGAATTAAACAATTTTAATGCGTGTGAATGTATTGAAACTTTCAACGTATAGAAAAACATCGAATTCAAGATGTTAGAATTCGGAAATTTGCGTAACCCGTTGCAAACATTCTAGGATCGATCTAATTTTAATGCAAGAAATGGCTTAAAGAAATTTAATATGAGACAAAAAGTGTGTTTTTACATGAGACTAATGTATTCAATAGACAATTTTAATATATTTTAACGCGTTAACAACTTTTCAATAAGTGAGACTTTTTTCGTTTACTTTTGGTACGCCAAAGGAACACCAACAGAATTTTTTTGTCTAGAATTCTGAACAGAATCATAGATTTAAATTTTCTTATTTTATTAAATTATTTTGCAGAAATTGAAAACAGGTTTTTTGACTGCAGTATACTTCTCAGGAACTGGTAAGTCGCTGTTAATAGAACCCTTTGTGCTCTTTAAGTATCACAGAAAAATCTGATATTCATGCAGGATGTGTTGGACGTCGATGATGCGTTCAGAGATACGATAAAGAAATCGAAATCATTCGATTTTGATAATCCTTTATCACTTGCTGATGCAGACTATTATAACACAACTGATTTGAGAAAAATTAGTATCTAACGGCAACGAAGGTGAGAATATAGTCACTCTTTCCCTGTTTAGGTAATTTTGAGGATTTATTAGGTGGATTATCTACTTTGAGAAATACTCACGTTCGATCAGCGAGAGTTGCTCTTGCCATTTTTCTATGTAAACTTAGACTTTGTCTAAGTAAAAAAGTTCTTTCGTCTCTCTTTCATCTCAAAGATAAACAAACGATGTACGAAAGGCTCTTGTGGTGGTTTTTGTTGGTTTCAATATTGGTGTCAAGTATATTCTCCGTCAAACCATCATATCTGATCAGACGACAGCAATTCCCGGTAAATTGTTGATATCAAATCCAAATCAAGTTGGTGTTATTGTTGATGGTACGGAAGTGTTGGACAAGTAGTCTTTAAGACGGAATGATTCTCAGTTTTTCTGGACACTTAGGAACATATTTCTATATTCAAAAGTCAGCCAACAACGTTCATATAATATGCCTAAACATCGCTCGCTACTTAAACCGATGTTGATCATGTCCACCGATTGTTACATTATCAATGTTCTCGATCCATTCTTGTCGATCCATTTTGTGTTGGAAAAGATTGTTTGGTTAAAAATCGAGATGATATTTCGGATTGGTCTTGGAGCATGATGTTATTGTGGTGGATAGAGGCTTCAGGGATTCAACAGGTACAATGAAAGCTCTCGGTTTTGACGTTGCTATGCTATACTTTCTCAATGGAACAAAGGAAGTAAGGAGAAAAATTATTAATGGTGGTGTTGTGAGTGTTTGTTCGCTCGATTTAATTCACGAGTGATCATTATTCAATAAAACGATTCAGTATAGTACAATTCCATATCTCAAGGATCATACAAATATCATTTGTGCCATCATAAACAAATATCGTCTACCAGCTATTGTGGATAAAGCTAAAGATTCCCATTACGCTGATCAGATACGTACATTGAATACGATAATCATGCACAAAATGCAATTTCTGGGTGGTATTGCACTTGTGTCTCGGGTGAACGAACTATTGACTGCTGTTGTCATGTTGCTGCCACTTTGTGACATCTTTGTTTTGATGAGGGCATCCATCAAAACGTTATTACACCATCGAGCAAATTTATAAATATTCTTGACGACGCTGTTCAGTTTTCGGACTACGAAAATTAATCAGACGAAGATGATGATAGAACACTATGACAGAAGAAGAGTGTAACCTTGATTAAAATAAAATATAAGTTGCAAATAAAAAACTTCCTTATACTAAAACTCTTTTCAGTCCTCCTTTATAAAAAAATAACGATCAAGTACAGACATTATCTTTTATTACTTCCGGTCCATTTTTTAGACGCTGATCGCATCGATATAGAGCTTCTGAATATGCCAGTTTGTAGCAAATTTCATGAGCTTCAAAACGGTATATAATAGAAAAATCTCCCAGCTCTGAATGATGTTCTAATCAAGAGTTATGAGAGTTTTACTGGAAAACCTAAAACATGCATCAGATACTGGCACCACCATATCTCGCAAGTGACTTTCACCTTGACACCATTTCGTAGCTGCAAGATTTCTCGATAACGAAACATCGCAGAGAGCTCGGGAAGGTCTTAAATTGAAGCTGACATATGTGTCTAGAGGTTAATAGAGTCTTTTGACGCCGACCGTTAGTTTGAAAAGTAAACTATCAAAAATTCGGCTCTATTAGCCTCTAGTCGCATGTGTTTGCCAACTTACGGCTAGTTCGAGCTCTCCAGAAAGATCTCGGCCTTAAGTTGCTTTTGATATCATTCATGATACATCAGAATGAGAATGGAAGTAATTAACGAATATACTTCTGATTCCTATCCGGTACTTATTGAATGGCTCTTTCTAGCTTCGGAGAAAGGTTTTTTCGTGAAACCAATTTAAGAATGTTTGAATTTTTCTTACAAAACGTATTTGACAATTAGAAAACCCAATTACATAACGCTGACATATTTTTCTCATTATATTTTGTTTTTTTCTTTGCTGCGGGACAGAGTGGTGAATGAATGAATGAGTGAGTATA